GGTCGGACAGGTTTAATGGGCGTTGGCATGTAGTAGTCGCAGATCTATGCATAGTTGTATCATATCTTGCATGGAATGTATGACATCGCGCACTGCAACGAGAGGGCATAGCTTCGTAAGCTCACCGCGTGATATACCACAAGATAATGCATACACACATCTAACGCTGATTAGGCACGGATTCATCTATATGCAAATAGTTGGCGGTGATATGCACGATACTAAGGGCTTTGCATCTGCGATGTTGAGGCAGAAGGCGGCAGCAGCAGCTTGAGAGTGATGCAGCGCGCAGGTGTAGAAGGCATCTTGCACATGTGGGCGCACGACGCGCAAGGATACTCAGAAACAACAGTAAACAGGTGGCGGTATAATCATAGCGGAACATCAAATGAGAAAGGAACACCTCTCATGGACAACATTGTTATATAATAAACATCGCAAGAGGCGTGACACGGAATGTACGCGGTAGCAAAACTCAGACGCGTCGAGTGGCGTGGCTGCGGATGTCCGGCAGGAAACTGCCTCAAGGCTTACCCCATCTGTGTATAGGGTGGCTGGGAAAGGGCGAAAGTGGCCTCATGGGCGTCATGTTAAAACGAAAGTCGCGGTTGAGCGCGCTCAAACGCGCTCAGATGGGCTAGCGTCGGGTGCTCCCGCCCCTCAGGGTCCATTAGCGCGAACAGCAGCTCATCCGAGACGCGTCCGAGGTTTAGCGCCTTGATCCGAGCCATCGCCGCGCCAAGCCAGCCCTCACGTAAAAGCCGGCCACCTCGCTCCTCCCTTCTCACCTGTACACCACACTTTCTGCAGCTGCCCCATGCCACTTCCCACAACCACAACACTCTCAAGCCGCTGCTACTGCATTGTTGCGTATCTGCTTCTTCTTCTGCTCTGCACTCTTCACACTTCAGCTGAGTCAATTGTTCGCAATTGCTCTCCCCCTCACGCGCAGCTGCTTCTCGACGCGTCGCGTCAGGTAACCACACTGCACTCAGTCACCACGCTGTCTGCCACTGCTTCTCTCCACACTCTCAGCATTGCTCCTGGGTAGTCTCCAGTAGCCATGACTACCCTCAATCTCAAGCTCGGCCAGACGGTCGAGACTTCTGGCGGTGTAGACGGCATCGTCCGCTACCTAGGCCCCATTCACGTCTCAGAGGGGCGATTTGTGGGAATAGAACTCCCAACTGCTGATGGCAAGAACGATGGCTCCGTACGCGGAGAGCGTTACTTCACTTGCGCACCTCTCCACGGGCTGTTCATCCGCGACACTAGCATTGTCAGCATCCTCTCTGAGGCAGCCCCCGCACCGGCTCCTCCTACTCCACGAGCGGTCTCCAAAACAAAGGCACCACCCACCACACCCAGAGCCCGCCCATCAAGCGTGGTTGCCCCTAAGCCTACAACCACTACAAGGACAACCACATTGAGCAAGCGGCAGTCAGTCGCAGCTCCCTCAACATCACAACCGCCTTCGCGTGGCCCAGTCCGCAAGGCCAGCGTGGCGAGCACGTCAAGCAACTCTGCCGCTGAATCATCTCGCGCCCCATTCTCTCGACCCGAATCCTCCCGCCCAGAACCTTCTCGTCCCGAACCCTCTCGTCCTACACCATCAACCTCAAGACCGAGTCTTGCATCTTCAGTCACAAGCAATGCTGGCAAAGCAAGTCGGGATAACAACGTCGACAATCTGCACACCAAGATTAGGCATCTCGAGAAGCAACACGCGGAAGACCAAGAGCGCCTGAGAGAGTATGCTCAGGTTCGCGACGAGAAAGAGCGCTACAGCGGCATCATCCAGCGGCTCCAGAACAAGTGTCAAGCTCAATACACCGAGATACAAGAGCTGAAAGATAGAGTGAACACACTTCAGTTGGAACAACAGGCTCTCAACAGATCACACCAGGACCACGAGGTGGACTTGGAGGATGCCTTGGTGGACAAGGAGATGGCCGAGGAGAGGGCGGATCAAGCCGAGGCAGAAATCGAGTCGTTGCGCAAACGCCTGGAAGAACAGACGCTGGAGCTTGACATTCTTCGCGATGAGGCCGATCTCTTCACAACAGAAATGTCAGAGGATCAGAAGCAAGAGGCTGGATACTACCGTCTCCAACACGAGAATGATCGCATGCGACAGGCGTTGATCACTCTGAAAGAGATGACAGAGGAGCGGGAACAAGACTTCAAGGCACACATTCTCGGGCTCGAGGGCGACGTCGCACAACTTGAGTACTACCGACAAGACAATGCCAATCTCCAAGAACGTCTCTCTGTATCCGAAAATCTTGTCGACCACCTGAAACAGCAGTTGGACGCTGCCAATGAATGGGAGGAGATGGTCGAGGAGTTGACCCAACAAAACCAGAATCTCCAAGATAGAATCGCGGAGCAAGATCTGGTCGTACAAGATCTTGAGAACCTACGGGAACTCAACGACGAGCTAGAAGCTCAACACCTTGAGCAAGAAGAGGACATGCTTGCAGAGCTTGACGCTAAGAACAACGAGCTCGCTGAGCAAGTACGCCAGATTACCGAACAGACCCACATCATCGCCGACCAAGAGTCTCTCATCTCCAAATTCCGAGACCTCGTCATGGACCTACAAACCAAAATGGCCGACGCTGAGTCTTCCAAGACTATGACGGAAGCCCAAGTCAAGGATACCACCGGTCGCTTCAACGAAGTGATGGACCTTAACCGCCAACTTCGTGCAGCCACTGTGTTGTCGACCACACGAGAGATTGAGTCTTCGCTGGTATCGCTCAAGGCAGATCAGCTTGCTGAAAAGCTCGAGATTTGGAACGAGACAGAGTCCAAGGAGTTCACTCGAAGCGAGTCTCTCCAAGCCTACCTCGCAACAGAAAGGATCGCTGGGAAATCCAAGCTGCTTGTCAATGTGTTGAGGAGCACCTGTCGTCACATGAGCAATGGCGGTCGATTGGACGATGCCGTCTCCAGACTCGTCTGTGAAGAGTCCATTGTTCACCTGGAGGTCCTTAAAGACGGAAGCAACCGTCTTTGGTCTGCCATTCGTGGCTTATCACTTCCCGAATTCGCCAATTTTGGCCCGACGTACCAAGAATTGATCTCGGTAGAGCAGGTTCTTGATCAAGGCCTCAACGCTCTCAAAGCAGACACACTCAACTTTGAAGAATTTGCTGGGTCCTTGGAGCGATCGACCAAGACACATGAAGCAATTCTGTCAAGCCACCAAGAGGTCCTTGCTGCACGACCAGAGGGAGAATTCCTCTCCATAGCGACTTCGCTCCACGCGAGGATAAACTATATCCTCTACATCTACGATCTGGCACACTTCGTCCTAGAGAAAGTGCCCGAGAGCATACGCGAAGAGTGCGCAAAGATGCTCATTCATTTCAACGAGCCAGTCGATACTTTGCAGGCTACATCCACGGCTGCGGCCAGGTTGCAACGGACTCTGAAGGCTCTGGTTCAGGATAATATGTTTCCGGAACGACCATCTGATTTCGAGGACGCTTTCAGATACGACGAAAAGCTGGCATCGGCTGCTGGAACCCTTGCCGCTTTCGTTCGCAGCCTGATCGAGGAGGTTGCGAAGTGCACCAGCCTATCCGACACCGAGCCAGTCCCTGCTCTTGAGCTTCGCGCGATCAAAGACAACATCGATAATCTCGATGTCGATCAGAATTATGCTTTCATGTTTGCCCACCTGAACACCATCACTTACCATCTGAATTCCTGGGCCGACCAAGCCGGCATACTATCAAAAGCCATCGAGATCGAGCACGGACCTACGCCCTGGGCTCAGAAGGCGAAGGAGGTTGAGGCGGGACGGAAGAAGGACGACGAGGCTGTGCGCCAGTTACAAACTCTTACCGTCGAGCATCGTGCAACCGTTCTGAAGATTCACGAGCGAGAGCAAGTCATCGCCACCAAAGAATTGGAGATTGAGCACTTGATGGCCAAGATCAAGGACGCTACCAGCAAGACCGAAGGTCTCGAGGCTCTCCAAGAAGAGCTCACGACACGTCATGATAAGATCATGGATCTTCAGGCTCTGAATCGATCCCAGATGATGGAGATTGAGGTTTTGAGAGAGCGCCTGGCCAATGCCGACGAGCATGCGCAAAACGACGCAGGACACGCCATGGAGACCATTGCCGCTCCAGTCGAGCAACCTCGGGAAGAGGACGACCCGCTCGCTCATCCCAGCAAGCTCAGGACTATGCTCGAAGCCCTCGACAATGAGAACCATTGGCTGCGCAAGCGCGAAAACAGCTGGGCATTCAAATGGAACGTGCGCCAGACGTTGATCAGTCTGGACACCTACAAGCATGTCGACAGAAATTGGAGGAAATGCTATGAGAGGCTTTACCTCGATGACGATGATGAATTCCTCGTTTTTGAGCCATCAAGCCCAGTGCTCGAGGAGAACCCAACATATCAAATCTCGAACGCACATGGTACTGGCCGACCTAAGATGTCGGCTATCGAACTCAGTGGCATCAGCCTAGGCTGGGAGGAGCGCGCACACAGTCATAAGGTGGCTTTGGAGCAAGCCGAGGAGGACTTCGTCCACCTGTCCATGCTCTCTGATGATTACGACGACTTGTCCTTCATTGCGGTATAATTCTAGAATACTCCATCGACTAGAAGGGGAAGAAGAAAAAGACACGACTCCGCATTTACGATTCCACACGACACGGTGTTGCGCATTTGGTTTTTCAGCGACAACTCGAGAGCATGGGAAGATGCATCTTGGGTACTGGGCGTTTGTTTTGGCTCTCATCAAAAATTTTGAGCATTGGAGTTTTTGGTTTGGCTTTGGTTTTGATTTGGTGTTTATCGCGACGATACCCATGGGTCTGCATTCGCTGCATCGTTTTTTGTTGTACTTTGTTTTGTATACGTTTCCTTTCTTGTAGCTAGCTTTTTACTCTTGTCTTAGTCCTCCCGGTTTGAGACCTTGACTCACCCCTTCGGGGGTTTGAGTCGGCACTCGCCGGGAGGACGGGCAGGCATTATGACATTATCGTCTTCATCCAGTTCTTCCATTGTGAATCCCTCTGCGAGTTTGCCAGTTGATGCTTAACATGGTCGTTTTCGCGCTCCAGTTCCTGGATTCTAGTCTCTTGCCAAAGAGCTCTCATCTTCGCCTCTTCTTTCGTCTTCTCCACTTCGGCTTCCAATGTTGACCTCCGCTGCCTTTCGCGAACCCGTGATAATTCGTTTGGCCTTGGTTGGTTCATCACACACCACAACTTGACGCGCGTGAGCTCTTCGCTGTGACGCACTTCGATCTGCGCAAGATGGCGATCGTGATGCTCATTGACGGCCGCGATCTCTTTCGCGTGTGTTGTTTCTAGGTCTTCAATGTGCTTCTCATGCTCCAACCGCTCTTTATCGAGCGCGCTGCTTAGACTGAGAACCTCGCGCTCCTGTGCTCTGAGATCTTTGATCAACGCGGTGAGTGACGATCTCGCTGCGGCAGCGTGCGCTGTAGAACGCGGCTTCTAGCTTATCAGCATGCTTCTTCTATGTTTTGTGGCATTCACTTACGGTGCTTGTCGATGTAGGTGGGCGGATATTGCGACGGGGGAAAAGCTCTCGAAACGATGGATTGCGACCGCGATTGTTTTGTCTTGTCGTTACCATTGCACATGCGAGAGCGAGCGCTCCAAGGTTTATTCGACATTCTTCGGGAGATTGCGATATTGTCGGGAGACGAGGTACAAGAGATCATGTTTAGGCTGCAGCTCTAGTGGAAGGTAGAAGTTAGGTTGAGATGCTGCAAACAGAGTGGACGGGGTCTGCAATGGCGGTATGATGGCGGAGGCAAAAGTGAAGGTGAGATTGGAAATTCAAGCTATACACCAACGGTACCTTGTATAGATTGCGAGGTCCTTCTGAAGACATGTCTTCGCACTCAGCATCTAGTTTTGAAATTCGCATCCCGCTTTTGTCCCTCCAGCCATTCCCAATCACGAGTAGAACTCATCTACGCGTGTTCCCCTACAAGCCTTGCAATCTCGGCGCACTTCTCGGTGATGCTGCGCAACTTCTCGTTCGCGCCTTTATCTGCGGTATGCTTGGCTTTCTCTTGAGCCAACTCATTCCCGAGCTCGGCAACCCTCCTGCTGAGCGTCATGACTTTCTTGCCTTGAATTTCATGCTGTTTCGTGAGAGTTTCGATACCTGCAACCGCCACTTTTCGAGTGTTGGCCTCTTTGTTCAGACTGCATGAGAGATCCTTGTTCTAGCTTTTCAGTTCGTAGACTCCAAGCTCTAGATCTGCGATAGTTGCGTCCTTCTCCTCGAACAGTTTGCTGTGTTCAACTGCGAGTTTTTTCATTTGGACCTGCATCTTTGAGATATGCCCACTGTAAACGGCGGCAGTGGCGCGAATATCCGAGTAGGTTTTGTTCTACACATCATAAGCAACTTTTAATAGAGACTAATCGTGTAAGATATACATTAAGATAAATATATAAGCTAGTAAGTATTATTAAAAAAGTATCTAAGTTTAGTATAGCTCTTTACTAGTTTTAAAAAAGTTATAATATAAAAGTATATAATATATTCTTAGTAAAGAAAGCTTAAGCTTAGCTTTATAGCTTAGTACTTAAAAATTACTTAGTAAAGTAGCTCTTTTTATAGTAATTAAGTAATAATAATACTTTATATATAACTATAGAACTTATAATAAATAACTATAGCTTATTATTATAGTAATAATAAAGTAACTAAGTATTATAATTTTAAAATAATATAAATTTTTTTATAAAAATATTTACTTATATAGCTTTTCTCTCTTTTTTTTTTATTTTTTTTTTTTTTTATTAACTAATACTTTTTTATTAGACTTAGTTTTTAACTTAAACTTTTTATAATATTTTTTATAAAGACTAATACTAGTGTCTTATACTTAATTTTATAAACTCTATTTAGTAAAAAGATATTAAAAAACGCCTAGCTTTTAATATTATTCTAGAACTACTAAAAGATTTTAAAATTTTAATATATTTAGTATATATTACTATTAGTACTAAGGCTTCTAAAAGTAGTAGTACTAAGAACTTAAGTCTTAGTCTACTTAACGCCTATACTTTTAAATATAAAATTTTAACTTTTTTAGAAATATATCTTTTTATATACTAGTAATAAATCTTACTCTTTTTAAACTAGCTTTTACTATAGAATTATTAGTTTACTAATAAATAAAGACTAATACTAAAAGTACTTAAATCTTTTATATTATAAGTAAGAACTTAAAATACTAGTAAACTTTTATAGTAAAGCTTATATTAGTTAGTAATAACTTTAGTATAAATAAAATACTTAAGTACTTTTTAAGTAATAAATTATTTTTATAGTAGCTTAAAAATATTTATAAAAAACTTTTAAAATTATATACTTTTATAAAAGTAGTTATTTATAAATTTAAAAAATAAAGTAAAGAAATAACTAAAAATTATATTACTATTAATATAATAAAAAAGTTTTATATTTATTTTTATATATATATAGTTTTTAAAAAGTATAAACTTAGTACTTTACTATAAACTAGCTAGCTTTAAATACTAAAAAATTACTAAAGTATAGTAAAGAATTTATATAAAGAAAATTAAGTATTTATAGCTAATATAAAAAAAAAGTTTAGTATATAGCTTATAATTCTAGTTCTTAAAGTTATAAAAAGTTTTTTATAAAGTAGTAAAATAAGTTAAAAAATTTAGTTATAAGTATTAAGTAAATATTAGTTATATTTAGTTTAAGTACTTTAATTAGTAATAGAGAATAAATATTATTATCTTAAGAGCGTAGTAACAAAGTAGACAAATCTAAGTAAGATATACATACGAGTTCGTGAGCGATGGCTGTTGGACGAGTGGACTGCACCCCATGACGGACAGCAAGAGAAGAACCCGCAGTAGATGACGATTCTCCCTGTGATGGCGTGCGCAATGGAGCCATGTTGCTGGATAAGAGCGTATCGTGGGTTGTGCACCAATGGTGGAAAGGTAATGCAGTAGAAAGCAGCAAAGATGAATTTTTGCGATGAAAGTGAGAAGAGTAGACCTGCCTAAAGCGGCACACGGCTAGACGCAAACGTGAGGTGAGCGTCTTTGTGGTGCTCACTGTCCCCGTAGATGTTATGTTATTACAAAGATGTCTAAAGCGCAGCTTTGCAACATTCTTTTCCTTTCAGTAAACGCCGTAGCTGAGAATTGCGGGTTTACAGTGATTTAGGAACATGCGAGGAAGTTCAGCAGCTTGGCGCGACGATGGCGATAACATTTTGAGAATATCAGTATCGCGAAAGCGAGTTTTCTCTCTGAGATGAAGCCTCTCTACCGGCTGGTGAAAGATCCCGTTCGAGGTGCGGCGTTTCTTCCACGTACCCTAAGCCTGCTCCTTTTCCGAGTTCTTATCACTTCTTTCCTGCACGTTGTCTGGTGCTGTCCACTCTCTCCACATCATCGTTGATCTTCGTATACTGCACCATAAGACATATGCCAGTACTGCTGGCGTTCGGTTATCAGCGCTATCTTCAGGTTTCGCAAACGGTAGTATGGGCTCAATGTTGAGGATTTTACTAAAGTGTCGCGTTCGTATACCGCGAGATCTGCGTCGAGGAGCAGTAGTTAAAGTCAATTTCTTAATCCCGAGGTCATGTGAGAGCGGGAGCCGCACTAAGTAGGAGCCGATAAGATCTTCCTTCTAGGCTCGCTGGAATACCGACATGCGATACATGCTTTCGGCAGTTTCCTGTAAGTTCTTTAGCTGCTTTGTGAAGTTTGGTTGACACGTGAAACGTGTTACTCCAGACACTTACCTAGGTAGTGCAGATGAGTTAGACCTACGCGTGAGGTTATCACATTTGATCGCCCGACACATCGTCACAAGTCGCAATTGCTAGATGTGCGGGTTGAGGACATGCATGCGTGCGCGCAAACTTTCGGCGTTATTCAAAGACGCAATGCATTGCACAATCACCGCTGCGACGTTGATGACGACATTCTTACCCGGTACTAGGTACGCCAGAGACCGGGTTTTGCATTTTCGTGTTTCCAACTTTCGCAGCGCAAAGTCTTCATTCGATCCGAAATTGTGAGCGCAACGTCGGCAAGCGCCTTGCTCGTTGAATGCGACATCACCAAGGCCACTTCAGCCACTGCAACGTAATTCCAGGGCACGTGCCATCAGCCACAAAACTTGGTAAGTCGGCCGATACGGTGGTGTACGTTGAAAATGAACCAGGCTAAATTCGAGTAATCCTCTCCTCAACTAGTCTTTCTTCCAGAAGACAAGTGCCATCGCTAGCAGTAAGTACTCGTTGCTAACAGCCTCCATCTGCGCACAGCCGACAATCGGCTACCTAGGTACCCAGAGATCGGGCCCACATCGGACCCGTAGCTCTGCCGTACCACAAACTATCGCAGACTTACGACTCGTCGGTCTTATTCCACCGCGAAAGCTCGTCGCAGCTCGGCCGGGTTTGCCATCATTGCGGATACGGGATGATTCGTGTTGTGGGGACGGCAGCACTTGAAGGGATGCCTGAGAGACGCCAATTACGGAACCTCTCGCCGTGATGGAAATTATCGTGATACTGAGATGGTGCAATGAATAAGGCCACCGACCGTTCGTCGTTTAGACCTTGTCGCAACCGCGTACAGAGATCGCCGACACGTGGAACTAGTGTGATCTTCCACGAGGATGTCGGTGATACTCCGGTGATCTGCGTTACCCTTTGATGGGTCAACCGAAATCGCGAGAGGTGGGTGCTTCAGCACCTGTCGATCACGGCAGTTACCAGGCGTGTGGAAAGTTACGTTTGGCAAGTGGCTGTTTGAAGGTAAAGTTCGTCTCGAATAGGTTTCAGCACCGGCAGACGCAGTCGTCAAAGTACCTAGGTAGCATGTGTTTGTGCGGGGAACGTGAGGTGGTGCGAAATACTCATGATCATTACTATATCGGATGCAAAACTATGGCCTCCGTTTTCCCTCATAGCTAACCAAGCTAGCCTCATCTGTGTCTCCTTGACTATGGCTGTGCTTCACGTGATACGAGGTCTTGACTCTGATGCCATCTTCCACTTTCGTATCGAACGACTCTGAACGAGGGCTCGATATAGCCGTGTTCAAGTTGTACGACTTGTGCTTTTGACTGACGTTCCTGAGTTCGTTGTTGCTGCCGTAGTTGTAGTATTGACGGCTGCGTGCCGATGAGCCGCCCAAAATGGGGAAGAGTCTGACCAGGAGAAGACGGAGGGTCGGGAGGCAGGCGCTGGTAGGAACATTAATGGATGCGATATATGAGAACGAGTATAGAACTTACCACATGATGCCGACACAGATTTCAATCGTGCTCCACATCGAGACGTCGTAAAACTCCCAGCTCACGTTCGAGGAAGCGGCAAAGTGAACCAAGGCTTGTAAACGCAGAATGCTGACGACGGTGACGAAGGTACCAACGCAGAACATAAGCGCTACACCGACCTTCTTCTTCCAGTGTAGCTTCAAGCCCCAAAGCTGCCAAAGAGGTACACCCAGAATCCAGAAGTCCAAGGCGATGGATATGGCCGCGTTCGATGCAGTGATGGCGTTGATTTCGAGACAAGTACCTTCGTGCATGCCATCCCATTTTGTCCAGAAGTACTGGATGGGCTGGCATTGAAATATCGCGACGATGATGAAGGCGACACCCCAGAGTATGGTGAAGACGATTGTACCCCATAGTAGTCGTTGAACGCCTTTGCTGGGGAACACGCGGATGTAGAAGAACAGTAGCGTGAGTTTCAACAGCATAAGCTGCGTGAAGTAGAGCCAGGCCATGATGTAGAAATATTGCAGCATCTGAGTGATCTCCGTCGGTGTCAGGGTCCAGAGATCTTGGCCAAGTCCATTCTTCACAGTGCCAAAAACAGTGATGACGGCACTGGGTATAGCGGCTATGAGTGTCGCCAGCACGCACCAGTCGTCGTAGCCAAAGTCCATCCTCGACACGGTGCCCTTGAAGGTGAAACGCATCGCAACGAAGGCTGCAGCTATGCATACCATGACGTTTGACAACAGCACATAGCTTTGTCCGCGATCCCGTACCGGGGCTCCGCAGGTGGTCAGGCTGATGTTGCGCGTAACTTCATGTTCGTCAGCCTCTTTTTCTCTTCCGTCGGGATAGGTGCAAGTACCTAGAGCTTCAGGGATGGTGCAGCTGGCGCTCACACACAGCGTTACGTTGTTTTGGAAGACATCGTTCGTGCAAATACATGCTTGATCTGTTGGAGAACAGGTGTTCGTACTGAAAGCGTTCAAGAGGCACAGTTGCTGCAAGGGTGAGCGAAATGTTAAGAAGTTGGGCTGCAAGGTACTTACAGCACATGCGGGAAGCTTTGACAGGGCTGGCTGCTGTGCTGCATGTACCATGGAGATGGTAACGAGCCACAACAGCATGCATGTGCGAATGAAAGAGGCCATGTCGATGCTCTCACGCCACGTTTGCGCAAGACAATCCGAATGTTGAAGACAGATGGGCGGACCCCCGAGTTTGTAACGGGTGCGTAGGATATCGCGGAGGTCTCAAGTAAAGCGACAGCGGGACAGGTTCCACCATTTATCTTCCGCCTCTAAACGGAAGGTGATCCTCGAATATGATGAACGCAGGGATCCCTCGTGCGGTTTATAGTGCGTCTCTTGTAAGGCCCAGGACTGAAACCCACGAGTCGTAGCTACCATGGTGGCTGCCGTCATTGGTATGAAGTGCCGACTGCAGAAGCCTACCCGACCATGGCATTCCAATAGCGCAAACTTTGTTAAGAAGTGCTGGCGCATATACGGTCGGAACCTAGCATCCTTCAGAGATGGCGGCATGTCATCCAGAAAGGGGTCTTGCCTTGTTCAGGCCGGTGCAGCGCAATGTGGGGTGCGGTCCGGTGTGTCATGGGCTTGCGAACGCCACAAACGCCAACCGAAAACCACGGTAAAACCTGAACGACAACGTCCACCATCCATGACCAACGGAGGATAATTTTAGACTTTCGAATATGTGACAGAAAGGGCGATGATGAGCATGGCGCAATGGCAGAGGTCTGGAGGCGGGCGAGCACGTGGAGCGATAACAGCTGCTCAGTGCGCACCTAGACATCTCGTTCGCTGCACGGCTGCCGAAATGAGGTTCCCTCCGAACGTTCCAAGACGACGAATGCCCGCCAAGATCTGCACGCCCGCCGGTTCCTGGCGCCACACTGTGTCGCCTGAGGACGAATCCCACGGTTTCATGAAGCTCAATCCTAGCGAGCAATCCGTCGTTGAGGGTCCACCCCCAAGCGTTAGGCCACCCGGCGAATCCCCCATTCATCGGTTGGCCCACTCTGCCCTGCAGTAAGTCATTCTCGCGTGCGGCCATCGATTCCCGCACGAGGTTTTCGCCGGCTTCCAGCCCAGTGCATGGCTATTCCTTGCATTGATATCGGCATGTGGCACAATGTCTCAAGTGGACTCTGTCGGCGTTGTAACCTACAGAGGAAGCAGACATATTCTAAGTCTTCTTCTTTGAGATGGTCTCCGAGATGAGAAGAATAGCATGTGGCAATGCGAAAACGATAGTAAGGGGAACAATGGCTATATATGAGGGTCGGGACAAGGCTCTTGGTATTCATCACTGCCATCAAGCACTTTCAAGACAAGATGAGGCTCATCGACAACGCTGCGCTCTTTGGAGCCCTACTCCTTGCTCGCTTTGGAAGCGCCCAGGATTGTTACCGTCTGCCAAGCGATGCCGACTGGCCATCCGATAACGCGTGGTCGACACTGAACTCGACCGTGAACGGGAAGCTCGTAGCCACTGTCCCAATTGGCTCCCCGTGTCACGATCCGACATACGATGCCGACGCTTGCGACGCATTGAAGTCATCATGGCTCAACCCGCTGATACAGTAAGTGCAAGAGCTCCGTTTACATGTTGGGGTAGAACTCTAATACTCTTGGCAGCACCCCGTCTTCCCACTCGATAATGCAGTCGTACTTTGCCAATCAGAGCTGCGATCCATTCTCCGATAGGAGCATCCCGTGCACTCTGGGCAACTACGTTTCGTACTCTGTCAAAGCTACCGAGGCTGAGGATGTCGTCTCTGCTCTTGAGTTCGCCAAAGCTCAGAAAATTCGTGTGGTTGTGCGGAACACTGGGCATGATTTCCTTGGAAGATCTACCGGAGCCGGCGCTCTAGCCATCTGGACCCAAAGTCTCAAGAACATCGCCTTCGGCGACTGGTCCGATGAGCACTACACTGGCCCGTCGGTCACCGTTGGCGCTGGAGTGATGGGCAACGAGTTGCTCGAGGCAGTGCACAAGCAAGGCATGAGTGTTGTGTCTGGTGAATGCGCTACTGTCGGTCTAGCAGGAGGATTTACCCAAGGTGGTGGACACTCGGTGCTCAGCACTGAGTTCGGGCTTGCTGCTGATCAGACCTTGTCCTTCGAGGTCGTGACTGCTGAGGGCAAGATGCTCACTGCTTCAGCAACCGAGAACGCCGACCTTTACTGGGCTCTCAGCGGAGGTGGTGGTGGCACATATGCTATCGTCCTCTCATTGACTGTACGAGCATACCCAGCCAAGCAGGTTGGTGGTGCTGCTATGCAGCTTCTCGCCTCGTCCACCACCCCCGAGAAGTACGCCGCAGCAACTGCCAAGCTGATTGAGCTCTTGCCAGCGATGATCGACGCTGGTGCTATGGTCGTCTTCTTGGTCAGCACTCAGTACATTGTGATCAAGCCCGTCACCGTCTGGGACTCAACAGCTGCCTACGTCAAGGACGTGGTGCTTGCGCCTTATGCCAAAGCTCTTACAGATCTCGGCATCACGCCCCCAATCGTCTACAGCGAGCTGTCTTACCGCGACCACTTCGATCGCTACATGGGCCCTCTCCCACGCGGCGCATACGAAGTCAACCGATACCAGTTTGGTGGCCGTCTCATTCCCCGAACTGTGGTCGAGAACAAGACCGCCGACCTTGTCAAGGTCTACCAAGAGCTTGCCGCAGAAGGCGTCTTGCTTGCTGGTAGCTCAGCAAACTACAAGAAGCCCGCTGGAGTCGCCGACAATGGCGTACTGCCCGCATGGAGAGACGCCATGATCCAGCTGCAACTTATCACAAACTGGGATTCCACCGCTCCTTGGGCCACCATGGAGGCAGCTCAGCAGAAGATGACCAACGAGCTCATGCCTAAGATTGAAGCCATTACTCCGGGCAGTGGCTCATACCTTAATGAGGCAGATTTCCAGCAGCCGAACTGGAAGGAGACCTTCTTTGGCAAGAACTATGACAAGCTGAAGGACATCAAGAAGAAGTACGACCCTAAGGATGTTCTCTACATCCTCAAGGGTGTTGGTAGTGAGGCTTGGAAGGTCAGCAAAGACGGACGCATGTGCCGTGCGTAGGGGTGTCGCGTAGTTTAATCTTCTTGTACATACAACTTATCGTCCTGGGCTTCTCTCAGTTCAAGAACTTATGAACTCTTACCAAATCCTCCACTTGTCGATGCATGTAGCGATGGGCCACTTTTATCATGATAAAGACGCGGCAAATCAATCGACGTTATCGTAGTGCGAGACATGAGGTGGCGTAGATGTGTCGTTGTGCGTTGGAAGGAGACAGGTAAGGGCATCGCTGTCTCTCGATTCGATGTTGTGCATCCGTGCACGATCAGGCCGGCTAAAATTCCACGTGACGTCGCGTCCCGATTTCTGGACCCTGTCATTCACCACACATTCCTGATGCCACCTCGGACTCTTCATCATTCCCTATATAGAATCTGCCTGGATAGTCAGCCATCGCACTGTGTGGGTCTTTTCCAGGCTGCACACATGGCTTTGCGAGTCGACCCCTGCGCCCGGCCGATGGCTGCCTGGCATTCCCGTTATGGGCATCTCGAGCTTTGATATCGGGATGCACTTCCCTTATATGTCTTCTCAGTGAGCTGCTGTGGTTTTATTGATATTTCAGCTAGCTTTCATCAACTTACATGTTTCTTCCCTTTTGCGCAAGTTTTGTCGCGTCATCTTTCTCTCGTATATCGTACAGCAATAAGGAACCGGGTTTTTTTTGCCATTCTGTGGATGCCGTCTGTCTTCAAATCAACGGTCATTAACTGCGATCGGACTGATCGGTCGTTGCGTTATCAGGACATGTGAAGAGGGACAAGGTTTCCTTCACACCGCATTCAGGACTAGCTAGCCGGGTCCAAGTCTGTCGGCATTCACTTCAACTTGGACGTAAACCCTACCCTTGTGAATTAGTCACTCGCCTCGCACACCACGTGCTGCCTTGTTTCTACATAATCTCCACACGCCTGAACTATTTCGCGCTCGGTACCGAACTCACTCTACCACTCTACCACGGCGCTCGAACGATCACCTTCGCAGCCCTCTTTAACTGAAAGAAATCCACACCATACTCCAACCAAATCAGCCATCATGTCTAAGAGCTGTGTAATCTGCGGCACCGAGGAGAGCGAAAGCGAACTACTTATCGAAGCTCCATGCCGCCGCCATTTGGTCTGCGCCGACGATCTCGCGAGCTTTTTCGAGAATGCGACAAACAACGAGAGTCTATACCCGCCGCAGTGCTGCGATGTTATGTTTGTGTTAGACGAATATGAGGACTATCTGCCCTGGGAGGTTTCTTGGGCGTACCAGGTGAAACAGCAGGGCGAGTACACGATCCTGGCAAAGTAAGTCCTAAAAGAATAAAAAACTGATCAGTTCGACGTGAGAGCAACAGATGGGAATTAAGCTAACTCTTGAACAGATTCCGAACATACTGCGCAAATCCAGCTTGCGCGAAGTTCCTACCCCCCGGAAACCACGTCGAAGACCCCGATTCGAAAATTACATATGCCATCTGCGAAGCCGAAGAGTGCGGAAAGTTGACCTGTGTCAAGTGCAGGACGTTGCTCGACCAAGGGACCCAGAACCACAAGTGCGACCAGAACGAAGACGATAAGAAGTTCAAGCAGACTGCGAACGAGAAGGGCTACCAAGAGTGCTTCGTTTGCGGCGCAACCGTGGAGTTGGCCGAGGCATGCAATCACATTACCTGCGAGTGCGGCAACTCATTCTGTTACATCTGCGGCGAGAACTGGCCTGGAATGCACGGCTGCCCGCAATATGGACCCGCGGAGTACGACGAGGAAGGATACAACCAAGACGGCTTCCATCGTGATAGTGGCCTCAGTCGTGAAGGTCTTACTCGTCGTCAAGAAGTCCTGCGTGCTCGTGCACTAGACGAGGCGCAGCGTCAGGCTGACGATGACGATGAAGATGACGAGGAAGAAGGTGATGCGCGAAATGATCCTGAGTGGGAAGTCCTGCAACATCTGACTCCTGACCAACGCGCTATTGTCAATATGCTTCCTCACGGGCCCCGCGAAGACGCTTTGGATCAGCATCGCATCGAGTTGTTCGAAAACCAGGGCATTTTGTTCGATCAGTTCAATCCTCATCCTCCGCCTCCGACTCCACACCCGCAAGATAATGATGAGGATGGTGACGAGGAAGGGGAAAACAACGGTGAAGACGATGAGGAGCGCGGCGACGACGAGAACATAAACGCAGAACATGGACCCGCTGTCGATGACTTCCTGCCAGGTCAAGCGGGAGTCCATGACCCAAGGTACATTCTCGATGCAAACGGAGAATTGCAGATTACCCGTGCTATACCAAACGACCAGCATCCCCCAGAGGTGCAAGGAGCATATCCCGCGGACCAAAATGAATTCTATGACTTCTCCGGCTCGAACATCCAAGTCGTCCCGGCCGACGAGGAAGCTGCCCAACAGGATATCCCCGTCACAGCCAGCCAGCCTCCCACTTCCGACGAAGCCGTCAACGACGACACACCCGGAGCTTAGTAGCGCTACGTCATCGTTGCCTGCGAATTCGCCCCAGGAACAACAGCCCACGTTATACTACGAATAACCTGAACAGGTCTGCAGACTACACTGAGTTATAGTTGGGCAAAGTAGAAGACCTAAGATCAACATAGGTTCAAGGGTGTTCAATTTTATGCTTGTATGAAGTGAGGGCATCGCTGTTTCTGGTACTGATGCTGTGCGCCGGTGCACGACCAGGCCGACTGTGGGATAGTGTTGGATCGAGAGATAAAGGAAATAAGGTAGTTGCTCGACATACACTTCATTGCGTCATTCATCATTGCAGTACTTTTGGTTCGTGTTCTCGTAGGGCCTGACGTGCTGTGTAATAAACGTGTCCACCCTCATCCTACCCGCCATCTACTTAACGAAAGTGTTGACAGGCAACCTGTAAACATCAATCGTCCAGTACGGCCTTCTAGTTCCCTCCCACTGATCACTCCCATGCAGTCCCTTCGGCACATCGATATCCTCCCACTGCGTATCAAAGCCCGCCTCGTACAGATCCATCTCAGCAACCTTGGTATAAACATCATAGCAGATCTGGCGATCAGCCCCGAGCCCATTATACCACCCAAACTTTCCGTCCTTGGCCAAAAGCGCAACCACATACTCCGCGAAAAACTCCTTGAGCGCCTTGTAATCCTCGGCAAAAGTATCGTAGTAGATCGCATCTAGCACAACGCCCTGCTCCACTAGCTTGGGCAAGATATCTTGCCACCTGCCTTCGTGGATCTTGACATTGGGCTTGTCGTACCAGCCTTGCTCACGCAGCCGCTGGTGCACTTGCGGGTGCGCTTCGATGATGTGGTGTTCCGCGGGGTCATGCGTGAGAATCGCCGTATCGACAATACCCATACCATGACCTACATTCATAGTCCGAAGACCGGATTTGGGGATAAGGGTCTCGGCGTGGCGTTGCATGATTTGCGTTTCCCAGTCCATCATGACAGCGTTGTCGGATTCGTCGAGGAGAATGCCAGGTTTGTAGCGGAGTTGGGATTTCAGGTATGCTTTGTTGTCTAGGGAGACGTCGTCAAGTATCTTCTCTTCGACGACTTGTTCCACGGCTTTGGCGTCCTCGGCGGAGACCTTTTGTTTCTTGGCGGCGGGCTGCTCGGTGGTGTCTTCTTCGAATGCTTCCTCCACGTCGTTGTCGCCCATGCCAAGGGCTTCTAGGCGCGCGAAGAGGATCTCAGCGCGGACACCGGCTTCGACCATCATTTCGTAGATCTTCTTTTGGCCTAGGCGGAGGGCAATGCATCCTGGTGTCTCGTCTTCCTTGTTGAGGTCGTTCCAGATGGCGCCATTTTGGAGGAGGGTCTCTACGGTTTGGATGGCGGCATCGCCAGCCTCCTTTCCGTCTTCAGCCTTACCGCATGCTGCGGTTGCTGCGTGTAGTGGTGATGTTGATACTGTTGCTGTGGGGTCTTGCACGTTTGCCGAGCCATCTTTGAGCAGGACGGTCAACGCCGGCACATCGTGACGCTCTGCCGCCGAAATGATGCGCTTGGCGAGGAGGATATCTTCTTCTGTTGCTTGTTCGGCCATCTTCAATTGCGATTGTATCGTCGTCGATCTGAGTTGCAGAATGACTGTGGGGTTGGGTAACTTTTTCCTGCAGGGTTCACGATAAGATAAGCGAAGACTAGTGCTTCACTGTGGCTTCCCGATGCGGCATGGACTGATAATGTGCTGTGCTTGGAAGGCCACGGCTTGAGTAGCAAATGACAAGGATAGTAGGTCGAAAGCTGCACGAACGATATTTGTAGCATTATGACATTCGCTGGCAGCAAGCATGTGCATACCTGCTAAATCATTTCGTGCTTCTATTGATGATCTAACAAACTAGGCTTCCGTCATAAGATACTACAAGCCAACGAAACATAGCGAGAAACACCTTCCATGAGTCTATAGAGATAGACGTATGCTTATTCAATCGCCACTTTCCTAAACACCTTGCTTCCATGCCATGCGAGCTGTCCAATTCTGATCGTATCCAAGTGAAGGCATCTCCACCCGTCCCATCAAGCCACAGGTATAGATAGTGATGCGAAACTGATGATGCCAAAGCATAACGCGCAACAAGGCCCCGCAAGAAGTAGTATCGTGCGGGGCGGACATGTATATAGACATTAGAAACGAATTAAGGGGCGATCGACGCGACAGAATAGATCTGATCCCCAACGGGTGGCGGCGCTTGCGTGCTGTATGCAAGTCAACCCGATGCCTTTGATGCAAAAATGAGCCCACTATCGGGCTTACTTCATCATCTGCGAAATGTTGTTCCACTTTTGCTTGAGCGCTTCGTGCTCTTCGTTGATCTAGAAGACTGGTTAGCAGTGCGCAACATCGAACTGGGTTGCAACTTACTGTAGCCCATTGCATCTTGACATCGACCAACTCCTTCTCCATCTCGGCCATCGAGTCTTCTAAGTTGCGGTTCTCGTTGTGGACGACAATGTTCTTCTGCATGACAGTCTCCATTTCGCTCTTCAGCCGTGCTTCAACCTCGGCAGGTTGGGTATCGACGATTTTCTGTAGTTCCAAGACCTTGGTCTTCAAAGTTTCGTTTTCTTCAGCGAAGTTCTCATTCTCGACCTTGGTCTTGATGAGCTCAGAAGCGACCTGGACATGTTCCATGTCGGACTGTTCAGCACGATGCTCCAAAGACCGAACCTTTTGCTCCAAATGCGTGACCTTGTCTTTCAATCCATGAAGTTCAGTCTCGCGCTCCTTTTCCACACGTTGCTGTTCTTTCCACTCAGCGGTGTATTGCTTGAGCATCTCCGGCGTAATCTTGACAGAAACGGCATCTTTGACGAGGGTATCGGCGCGATAAATCTCCTTGTCGATACCGGCCGTCGAACCGAAGAAGCCGTTCTCGAGAATGGAATTGGCCGACGGGGCTTTGTCGATGTAGACATCGAACAACCGCTCTTTGAGGAACTGGGTCAGGGTAGACATGTCCTTCATACCTAGCAACGTTTCGGCGTTCTTCTGCATTAGTACGATGCCGAACTTCAAGATAGCAGACTCAAGACCCTCGCTGAGTATCAGGTCGTAGATGCGCAAGACGAGCTGCAGCGGGAATCGGTATGCAAACAACGTGAGGAACCATTGCGTTGCGTAAAGCTGGGGCTTGACCTCTCTTCGCCGAAGATGGCAGTAGAGAGCGGGCTCCAGATCTTCCAAAAGACGTTCGAACTGGTAAAGATGCAGATGGAGTCCAGCCATATCAGCCACAAAGAGGTCGCGCAGACGATATTTGTTCATGAGCGTAACGAAAAGACTGAAAGCTTCTTCCTCAGGCATCTACCGAAGTTAGTAAAGCGACGATTATCACAAGGGTGATAGCTTACGTTGAAAAGCAGAGGCATGGCGATGAAGTTCATGCCTTGAGCGTAACCAACGGCGTCATCGTACAGAGCATAGGCTTTGCAGATGCCAAAGAGACCGTCTTGTAGCCCAGCTGCCATGAGGTACTTGGAGTAGCTCGTTCGGGCTCCGAGATCGCGCTTGATGACCTTCTCTAATTTCGAGATGGTGACTGCATTCTGCTTCTTTTCCGCCGCAAGCCTCGCTTGTACCTTGATGGGATCTTCGTCCGACGTGAGTGATGGCGAGCCTAATGGTGCAGTCGTGCTAGCAGCTGTTGTGGCCGGGCTCGAGTAGTCGGAATGCACAGAAGACGAGGAAGAAGCGACGGAGTCCTTTCCGTTCGCACTGGCTTGGCCGGTGCTGACAGTGCTGTTTCTGACGCTCATGTATTCTTTGTCTGTTCCACGAGCGACTAGCTCCCTGTACATGCTCTCCAGCTCTTCGCTTTTACTTTGCGCCAGCACTTGCCAAATAACACCACGGATAACTTGAGGGATGCCGCTGGCGATGGCGCGGTTCAGTTCTTCGGAGCTGGTACGCGCGATTGCGGCTGGGCCCTCATTGACCACTGACTGCCATAGGTCCCAGTCGACAGGCTCAGCCGCATCTCCTGCCGGACCAGCGGCGAAACCAGAAGCAGTACCGGGGGCCAACTTGGGATTTATTGTAGGTTGCTTTGCGAGCGCTGGAGGACTTCCTGGCTCTTCCTCAGCTAGAGGGGTGGGGCTGGCAATGCCGAGACCGAGGCCTGGCGATGCTAATGCTGCTGCTGGACTGCCATCTCCGGTTGTGTCATCCAGTGTTATGCCCGCTTCTTCCCTCATCCGCAGAATCTTGAAGCGATCTCGCAGGCTGCCCTGGCTTGATCTGTTCTTCGAGCCCATGTCTCCTTCGTCTTCGATCCTGCTCAAAGTGAGCTCAGGATTGCTGCCGATGGTTGCAATAGATGCCCCAGTATGACGTCGCTCGGCAGTTGTTGTAGCTGTGGGTGGAGACTCGGGCTTCTTGCTGGAACTATTCCTCGAAAGCCACGCAAAGGGGCCTGTGAGCTTCCTGGTCGTCGGTGCTGGCGCGGGTTTCTCTTTCTCTTGTACAGCGGGCGGGGCGGGTGGAGGGGGGAATTTTACGGGTGCCATTGTGCCTGAAAGGCCTTGTAGGCCACTCGCGGAGCTTGTGGAGTCTCGAGAGTCTCGCGGTGGTAGTTTGGGGAGTATGCCGGCAGCCTTGGAGCCTTCTGTAGGGAGTCAGCTCAGGTTCTGCGCTCAGCATGCATTTGCGCATGACGCATTTGTGGCTACGGAGTGAGTGAATGCGGGGCGCCCTCGCTTTTGAAGCATGATTCGCCGAGCATGCGCACATCACATAGCCCTAGATTATGCCAAACAGAGTAGGTGTACTCACCACTATCCAACGACACATCGTCCATGTCTGAGGTGACTGAGACCCTGTGTCCAGTCAAGAGTGGTGACTTGGCTGCCGGTGCAGTCTCGGTAGGCTTTTTGACGATCTCGGGTTCGCTCTCTGACTCGTCGCTGTCATCTTCGTCCTCATCCTCGTCGTCGTCATCATCGTCGTCATCCTCCTCGCTATCGTCGCTCTCCTCTTTGGGCAGTTTTGGCACTGCAGGGTTGGGCGAGACTGGTTTGCCGGCTTGTACGGTGGAGTTGGAAGACTCTCGCTGTAGGAGGGAGCGTGACCGTGACTGCGATCGTTCGGAGTGTGAGTCGGGGCGAGGGGTAATCTCAGAAGCGTCTTCGAAGTCGTCCTACACCGCCGCACGCGTGTTAGCAAACTCGCACACTGAGGCTCTCCGCTGCCGCCAGATTCAAACAGGCATTGCTTACGCCGTCTTTGTCGGAACTGTGTGAGCTCGTGGGTCTTTCGGTCTTGTCCGCCATATTTGCAAGGGTTGGCGGTGTAGGCTACTGCGGGTCGGTCGAGGGTATCTTGAAAGGCAGCTGCCGTCGACGTGCGGAACGTGTAGCGTGGGCGTGTGTAGAGAATAGAGATTAAGACGTAGTATGGCTCGGGCGTCGGGGCACAAGTCGGGAGGCGCGGCGGTGTTGTGGTGGTGATGGGGAATTAGGAGCGGGACAGCGACGTGGGTTGGTGAATTAGAGAGAGTGGAGCACGACCCTGGCACCCTGGCCGCGGCCTTGAACTTCGGGGAAGCCACTGAGGAGCCACAGCGACACCTCCACCCCCGTCCGTCACCAACAACGGCCGGCCATGGAAGACGAAGTCCGTGACAGTTCAGACTCTGACACGCTGCATGACGTCGCCCCCTTCATGCCTGGCTGCTGTGCATATGCAGCCGCACCGCCAGGCCAGCTGTTCACACGGCGCGCCGTGGTGGTACAAACAGCTCACCATGGCCTGCCATACATAAGGTTAATCTGAAACATGCACTAACGCCGCCGCTTGTTCGTCCTCCGCCCGCCCTGCGAATCGAGCCTTCTCCCACACGCGACAGGCATTCGGCACTATTTTTGGTTTTCGACCTGATCGTCCGCGACTGCAAAAGAATCAACCCATGGCAAGACGTCACTCAGGGGCCGGACGTCCGACGTTCTCGAACAAGAAAGAAGTTTCCTTTGTTCCTTCCCGTCCGGCCACCTGTTGATGACGCTCCTTCCTCTTGTGCAACGGCCGCGTCTCAGCCCGCCATCTCTGCTTCACGTCAGCAAATCCGTGCCACGGGGGGTCTACGTCACGCATGCTTCAGAAAAGGGTTTGAACAATAAGTAATGTGAAGTAGAATTGCAAAGTCAAGGTATATACATGAACATCAAGAAGGTGTCTCCAATCAAAGTTTCCAGTTCATCTCTTTCTCCCCGATTAATCTCATAGCCATTTTTATCTCAGAAGCTCTCCCTTAGGCGAGGCACTGGGAGTAGAAGTCGTTCTGCTTGACGCACTTGGCAGTGCCCTCGCAGGCAGTCGGGCCAGTCCATCCCTGGCCACCGCACTGGTACCAAAGCTTAGCAGCACCAGCAGTTCCGGAGGGAACAGCGCCGGTGGGGGCAGCGATACCGGCAGAAGGCTTGACGAGAGTAGCGAAGGTGGTGGGGGCCTCGGGGGCAGCGCTGGGGATGGTAGCGTTCATCGAGGGGCGGGCAGGAGCGAGGGTAGGGAGAGCGGCGGCGCTGGTCTCGGCAACGACGACAGAAGAGGCGGCGGGAGAAGAGGCGGCGGCGGCGGGAGAAGAGACAGGGACGGTCGAGTTAGCAGCAGGAGCAGATGGCTTAGCACCACCGGCACCACCGCAGGAAGCAACGGCGCCACCAGGAGCCTTGTAGGTGGTCGCGTCGAAGCCGTTGTAGATGTCGGGGATGTAGATGTTCTTATCCTCAGCCTTGTAGGCGCCGGGGAGCTCAATGGTAGGTGTGCATGAGCCCTCGCTGCCGGTACCAGTGATCTTGAGCTGCATGCAGCCAATGTAGAACTGAGCACCGCCGACGGTCTGGGCGCTGTGGAGAGCCAGCATCTCCGAACGGAGGAGGTACTCACCGCTAGCAAGACCGGTAGGAAGAGCAAACTCGTGGGTCATGTTGTTCTCCCCCATGATCTCGTTGGCCCACTTGCCGCCGACTTGGTCGAGCTCGTCAATCTTGAACCATCCGGCACCGATACCGGTAGCCTGGGCAGCATCGTCGACGGGTCCGTAGAGCATGTGGGTGATAGGACCTGGGTGGCCGGACTGGTCCCATTGGACCTTGATTGTGTCACCCTCAGCGGCAGCAACGGTCTCGACACCGGAGGGGACCTTGGAGCCGCCAACGTTGCAAACAATGTCGTCGCTGGTTACGTCGGTGACGGGGCTGTTGGAAGGTGGCATCCGGATGCCGACCTGGTAACCGGGGGTGACATCGTTGACCCAGAGCTGGTGAAGGTTCTGGTGAGCCGAGACGGCGGAGAGGAGAGCGCTGGTGAAAACGGCCTTGGTGAACATCTTGAAGTTTCAAAGTTGTGTCGTCGGTATGATATGTACAGTGACTGGATATGCAAAGATATGCTAGTGATGCCTGATCACGAAATGAATGTAGTGTAAAGAATGAAGTTGGCAAAAACCGGAACGAGTGTTGTGCAAGAAAGGACTGGCCTGATGGAATGATGAGCTGGAGAAGTCAGGACGACGGCAGCTTTTGTACTCACCCCACGCAGATCTATTCCCTGTCTTAGGCGCCTGGCATGAGATTAATAGTCCCGGAGATCAGGACAAACCGCCTGGAATCCTCCATGACACCCGTTCACGCTATCCCAGCCACTGGCAACGGGAACGACATCGCCTTGACAGATGCCAAGAAGCGACACGCCAGCAGTACATCTAGATGAAGTGCTAGTCTGCCCTTTTTGGGCGTTGTCCGCGATGCTTGTTTATGCGACAGGCACCATCCGAGATTGGGTGGGCATGGTGGTGGAGAAGCTGGGAAGCGAGCGTTTCCAGTCTCGCTACTTTGGGTTAGCGAATCCGTTTCAACTGTGCAGCCGCATGTTTCAAAACACTGCGAGAGCGGTTCGCTGGGAACACGATCCTGCAGCGAGTCGCGATGAACATGAAAACTTCGGTGTTCTTGTTGCCGAAGCCCGTAGACGCAGCTGACGGGTTCTGTGATACCCGGAGAAATTTCACAAGGCTGCGTTGATGCAGTAGTCGGTGGTTTGAAAGAACCAGAGTAACATGTGCTTGAGACTGCTTATGAATCATGTGAACGACTTTCATTGCAAAAGCAATCTACAGTTCACTTCCTTTGATGAGGCTGCACTTCATGACGCGCTGCTCCGGCGCCTGGAGTGGGGCAGCACCTCAGTCGCAGAAAATGTCTTTCTCATGGGGCTCGTCTTTTGAAGATGAAACCTGTAGGCGCTGGTACAGTGCGTCCTTCAAGCACCGTAGAAAGACCGTCCATTTCCTTGCCAGTGTCAGGCATTGGTTCGGATATTGGTGCTGTTGGGCTTGGAGTATTTGCAGTGGAAGTAACAGTGTCCGCGGGCAATGCGAGAGTTCCAGTAGAGACAGAGATGCTCCCTTGAAGCACTTCTCCATTGACGTAGATATGAATCTCCTGCACTGTAGATACTGGCAATGTCGGATGGATGATGGAGAGGAACCGTGCGCCAGCTAAGATCGAAATGAACCACAGCGTTATGAGGAAAAAAATGGCGAAAAGTACCCACGGCACAAGGATGCATTTTCGCGGCATTCGACTCAGTGCAGGCAGTGAGGTTGGGAAACCCGGTACAAAAGACTGCGCAAAGTGGGGGTGGTTTGTGTCCTGGTAGTCGGGCTTGACCTGAGCTTCCTCCATCTCCTTTGAAGCTGCTTTGTTGTAACGCGGGATCGAAGAAGGCGACTCATGCGTGGCTTGATGGTAGGGGTTGTTTGAAGCGCCACCTTTTGGTGCTGAACCAAAATTGGCGTTTTGGGGCGTATGAGGAGCGGTATACGAAAGGAACGTAGAGCTGTATGTTGGAGCTGGTGAAGGTAAGCTCCCCTGTTCGATGGAAGCCACGTCTAATGACGTTGGTCGGTTTGGGGCGTGCATGGTGGAGGCGAACATGTGGAAGATCTGTAAGTGCGACAAGAAAGAGGACCTGCCTTTTAGTGATTATAACAAAGAAACAACGCGGAGCTTGACTGCTGTAACAATTCAAGTGCGGACAATGCAGATAAAGGCACTGCATCTGATGAACAGCGTAGCATCCACAAACAATGATCTAATGCAATTAGCCTATGGAAAGAGTCATTAGCAAACGTTTCATCGCTTTCGTGCGCCTGTGTATCGTTTCTACGGCTGAATAACACATCTCGACGAATGCAGTGGTGGTGAGAAGATGGAGCGTGGGGACGACGGGTTTGGAAGGCGCGGCGTGCTGACGAACGATTGGCGTACCGGCGCTTTCCCTCGGATGCAGGGGCTAGCCTTGGGGTGTCATACTGGCCGCACCGAGTAGTCTCAATCACAGACAAAGTCAGTAGTTGAGCATGACTATCGTAGTTTTGATTATTGGCTCGTAAAATGTCCGATCATAATTGTTTGCACGAGATGTACGTGCAGAGTATGCCTTCACTAGGCGTGCTTGAGGGTATCATACCACAACTCCAAAACTCCCAGCGCAATAACCTTTCAGGCATGTCCATACATGATTCCCCGAGTATATTCAGGCTTTCGCCTTGCCCTTGCCAGTACCAGCAGGCCGACCTCGCTTCTTCCCTGCCGCGGCTGGCTGTGCGCGAGCAACTGGCTGTCCGTCTGCCCGCCTGCCCTCTGCTGTTCTGATATCCTCGAGCTCCTTCTCCAGCAAGCCTTGTAATTGTTCATTACGCCTTCCTAGTAGTAGTACATCGTCCGTATTGATTGTGTTGCGACCGGCGTGTTTGGAGAAGACTTCGAGGTCGCGGGCTGTATTTGCTGTGATGGCGTTAGCACCCTGTAGACTAAGCAGTATCTGAGGGCTCGAGGTTGATCGTACCGATTTGGGTATATACAAGCTCAGTAAGCGCACCGATGAACTGAGGTGTTGCATTCAGGTCGTTCTCCAACGTCTTCTCGTCAACGAACTGGCCGATTGAGTACCAGAGGGCTGACTTGAGCCGCTGTGCATATTGTCAGCCCAAGCTGACTATCAATTCAGACAAAAGACTTCCTACCTCTTCGCGCTCTGCTTTGGCATCATCGTTTGACGCCATATCGCCTCGTGGTTGAACTTCAGTCGCGTGTAATTGCCGGCCAGACGAGTGACGCGACGCGCCTAACGCGGGCCAATAGCGGGGCCTCGGTGATGACCGGGGAGAAAGTCACCGCCCATGTTCTGCCACCTGGGGGTCCACGCTTGAGTGATTTATTGTTATTGCGCGCAATTACTTCCTCGTCAACATCGCCTTTCACGCACAATTCCACACGCATCCGTCTATCGACAAAGTCACCGAACACTTCTCTCGCGTCACCCTCCAACGAAGCCGTAATCGCACCCGGACGTCGCTCCTCCACACTACTGCGCAACAAAACTACAATCGCGAATACAAACATCACATAGCCAAGATGGACTACGTACTTGACAACGTGGTCGAGTGGAAGGACCGTCTGGTCAACAACTCGATCAAGTCTTTCGAAGAGATGACCGCCCAGCGCTGGGTTCGCATCATCGCTATCGTGGGCGCATACCTCCTCATCCGACCATACCTGCTCAACGCGGCCGCAAAGAAACAGAAGCAACAATTAGAGAAGGAGGCTGAAGACCTTGGCTTGGGGAAGACAGATGCGTTAGACGCCAACGACTTCAGAGGCAAGGGCGTCAGGGTGAAAAAGGGCGAAGCGAAGAAGAAGGAGTAGGTGCACGCATAGGAAGATGGACGGGCATGGCAATGGGGGTGGTAATACTGTGAAATCAGGGACGAGGATGATCTTGATGGGAACAAGGAGCATAGACGGCTTGAGGGACATGGATATGGGCTGCATACCAACGGCGTTTTGGCATTCGGACTTGGCCAACATGCGGACCTGGAGTGTCTTTCTGGAACACTCCTAGCACGACGACTGCGATACCTGCGATGACGCGCCTACTGAGAACGACACAACAATACAATCGAGAAGAAATCGACGAGCTAAGCTCTGGGAAGTCCACTTCTGCTTCAGTATCGTAATTCTAATAAGATCAACTCTACCCCTTTCTCAATTCTTCAGCGCTTCGACTCTCTTACACCACAGATCGAGCATCGGTGTGTTTATCCTGATTGCTGGCTAATAGACCTTGATCTCGTTCGCAATTGCACTTCCATTCATGACAGAACCCCGTTCGTTCATTGCATGTTCACGCCACATCATCTTCACACATTCACCGCGTTTGCTAGCCCATCACTCCATTCCATAACCCAAACCACCCTCCCAGCAGCGGCGTCCGCTCACTGCCACTTCAGCCCATGATCATCACATTCACAACCCTTCCGCTTCACATGCTTTCCCTTCATAACCCAACTTACTCACTTCCGACTATGTACCCGCACGCGCAACCTGAGCACTACCAATGCCTGACAACGACGCGTACCGCAAGCAAGTTCAAGGAAAAGTCCAGGACCTGGTCTCTGAACGTCACGAGAAAAGTGGTGCAAAATTGGTCATCGAAGCTGTGGTTGAGGGTGTGAAGTTGTATCGCAGCTACAAAGAGGAGAAGGGGAAAGAAGAGAAGGGGAAGGGGAAAGAAGAAGGGAAGCACAGGAGACATAGGAAGGGACGCGATATGGACGAAAGTGGGAAGGATGGGCATAGGAGGCACCGTAGGCATAGGCACGGTGATGAACACAGTCATGGATCCAGTGGTAGACATCGACACCGTCGTCACCGTTCTAGATCGAGGGATGACGATCGTGGAAGACACCGTCACAGCTCACGGGGTGGACGCTCCAGATCACGCCGACGCGACCGGAGCAGAGACATTCGCGACCCAGTCACCGAGCCCCCTCACAACGATGACTCCGAGTACCATATGACCGGTGGTGCAGGACCAGCAAATACTTTGCATGATGGCCATCGAAGGGCAGACGCTCCATTGCATGGGGCTGAAGATCGACCTGGAAGTGGCGGCAGCGGTTATCAAACATCATGGGAAGATTTGGCTCCTGATCCTCGTCCCCGATCGCGATCTCGTGGACGCAAGGAAGCACACTGTACAGAACGTAAAAGATCTCGTACACCCCATCGATCTCATCGTCGAAAGTCTGGAGGACACCGGAGCTCACATCGGCGTGACCGTTCGCGTACCAAACAACCGGATCATCGTCCAGGTCGCATAGGCGCATCGCGATCTCCAACAAGGCAGCAGAAAGGACCGGATGGCACACCGTTCGGTAGCTTACCCGAGTACAAAAGCAAAGGCGGCATAGGCATGGGTCTCGGGGATCACATCATGGCCACCTATAGGCACATCAAAGCCGAGCATGAAGCAGGCCACCGGACCAAAGGCGCATTGGAGAACGCCATTGACGGGATGAGAAAGAAGAAGACGGATGCGAAAGATTATAGCGACAGACTGCGAGAAGGCGAAAGGAAAGAGAGGGAGAAAATACGAAAGAGCGAACCAGAGCGTGTCAGATGGGCCGAACGGAAGCCTGAAAAGACGCGGGGCGATGAATCGAAACAAAAGGCTGCTGAAAAGGAAGCAAGAGAACGCCATCGTCATGAACAAGACGAGCGTCGCCGTCGCCGTGAATACGAGAAACAACTTGAACACGAACATCGTGAGAATCGACGACAAGAGGAAGACAGGAAGAAGGATCGTAGCTCGCCGATTCCTGAGATTCGTGTTCAGCCCCCTACGGCTAGTGGGACTCCCCGCGGTGAACAAGACGAGCTTCGTGAGAGGCAAAGGCAAGATGAGAAGCTAAAGCAAATTGAGGAACAAAGGCAGGAGGAGAAGCACTGGCAGGATGAGAAGCGAAGGCAGGATGAGGAACGAAGGCAAGAGGAAGACAGGAAGAAGAACCGTAGCTCGCCGGTTCCCAAGGTTCGTGCCCAGCCTCCTGCATTTGGTGGAACTCACATTCCCCAGTCAACTCCGGTGGCTCGCGATTCTCAGGCCCCTACTGCTCCGAAATATGCTCCTCCACCGGCTCCAAGACGGCCGAGCAGACCTATCCGGCCCAATACTCCTCCCAATCGTACACACCCAATTGCTCCAGTAGCGCACGACTGGTATGCGCAACCCCCTGCTCCGGAAGAGCAAGACTGGTATGTGCCACCAGCCCAGCCTCCGGTGTCTGAACATGGTGCAAGAGCAGGCTACTACGACCAAGCCCCAGGTTCGCCGATGCCAGGGAGCTATGGAAATCATCTCGACCATGATTATCTGGAGCATGGAGGGGATGATGAACAGCCCGTTCGTGATGAAGTGCCGTACCTGGGCACACGCCCTTCCCCTGTAATGGCAGCTCAATATCCCGAGAGCGTTCCTTCTCCTATTATGGCAGCTCAATATCCAGAGCGCGTTCCTTCTCCAACTATGGTCGCTCAATATCCAGAGAGCATTCCTTCTCCTGTTATACCTCCATACCCGGATACGCCTCCTTCTCCTGTTATGCCTTCATACGCAGATACACCTCCTTCTTCGGATGTATCAGAGGGTTCTTCGAGATCGTCGTCGCCAATTATGTCGCATGCAATACGTGCTCCTTCGCCACCAAATCGTTTCTCACCCGAATTCTTACAAAGCATACCGATGCCAGCTCCCCAGCAAGCGGCATCTCCCCCAATCCCACCACCGCCGCCACCGCCCCCTCCACCAGTTCCACCTCCACCTCCGCCTCCACCAGCAGCAAGACCACCTCCTCCACCTGGACCCCCTCCACCACGCTCAGCAGGACCACCCCATATGGCCGCCATATTTGGCGAAATCCTTGGCCCACGCAAACTACGTAGTGTGGCAGCTGAAGAGAAAAATGACAGTAGTAACGCGAAAGCGGGCAAGGTATTGTACGAAGAAACAGCACACAGTCGCGAGGTAGAAGAGCACGAGCGAGCTCAAGTCAGGGACGCTGGTAACCGTCTGCCAGTGTCAGGAGCTAGTGGATGGAGTACCGCTTACTCCGCAAAATCAGAAGCCGATGATCGACCAGAACCTAACAGGGCGTTCAGAGAGGAACTAGCGAGGAGATTGGGCCAAGGTATTGACACTTCTACGACGGGGACTCCAAGGGGTTCTGGCGATAGCTCACTAACAGCAGGCTCTAGGACTTCGATGAGTGCCAATGTGTCGCGAAAGCTGCAGGACGAGAGTATGTTGACATATCCCTAGAGCTACATAGTGTTGTACTGACGTTGTCGTAGAGGCTCCTTTCCAGCGGCTTTCTAGATCAGAGAGTGGGAAGGATCTCATATTTACTTTGGCGGCACATATTGTACAACCAGATTGAAGTTTTGACGGGCTTACTAGGAAATGATGACGGGATGGAACGAGATGAGGTGAGTTGGAATGCTGGGAATGGATATCCGGGTAGGCAGACCTGTGTGAGAGACAATTGAAGTATTCTTGTCCAAATAGATCCTCGCGTCATAGATCATTTGGTCCAATTTGTCGCGGATGTGTGCATTGTAACGCGTCTGGTTGGTGAAGAGTGAACGCGTACGCACCAGGTCCGTGATAGTGAAGTAGAGCTCCTAACCCCAAGTTTGACAGTCAGACTGTTTTCGCGCTAAAATCGCCCCTAACACATAACCTAACGCACAGCCTACCTTACTAAAGTTTACTAGTAGTCTTATATTGTTGCTAATAATTACAGCATAGAATATAGCATTATTACTAACACCTATATATAGAAATAATATATTATTATAGATATTATAGTACTATTTTTATATTACGCATAATTTTTTTAACGTTCTAGGCTATATTAGAGTACTTTTAGCGCGTTTTAGACGTTATTTTTTACCTTTTCTATAAAATAATTGCTTATAAATGTTATTCTATATAATATATATATAATAATAACATTATCTATAGACTTTTTTATAATTTTATATATATACAAAGAGACTATTAAACTTTAGAATAATATAGTCTTTCTAAAGAGCTAAATTTATATATAAAAACATTAGAAGCTTATTTTAAACGCGAATTTAATAGTTTTTAACGTATAGAATTATAGTTTAGACTATTTTATTACTTAAAACGTTATAGTACTAATATTTTAGAGGTATATTAACATTCTAGACGTATAGACTTTTCTTAATATAGGCTTAGCGCTAATAGGTAATCTTTAGAAATAATTATAGTAACGCTATCTATAATCTAACTATTCTCTACTATATTCTTAGTATTTATATTCTATAGTTAAGGTTGTCTCTAATATTTCTAATACTTCTTAGCTATTATTAGTACGTATATACCTTTTAATCTTATTCTACTCTTACTATATAATATAAAGTTATTATACTTAACGCTGCTAAGCTGCTTCTTTGCTACGTTAGTATTGTTCTAGTTAATATCTACTTTTCTTCTTTTAATTAGTGCTAACAAAGGCTTTAATATAAGTATCTATAGCTATTCTCTAACATTTTAAATAATCTTACTATATTTATCTCGCACACTATATATCTTGTATACCTACTCTTAATTTAAGTCTTTTACTTTATCTATATATATCTATAATAATATAGATTAGCAAAGGTAATATAGAGTATTATCTTAGACGTACCTTATACTAATAGTAGTTCTATTTATACATATTCTATATTTTAAAGGTAAGACTACTACTATATATAAGAGGCTATAAGAAAAGAAGTAGAGGCTAGCTCTTAATTATTATAAGCGCTCTCTTTAGATTATTCTATATAGCTTTAAGATTATAGATTAGTAGCTTTATAATTAGTAGAGAGATCTAGATATCTTTCTTACTAAATATTATAGTAACGCCTCTAACGTTAATAGTTCTTATCTCTTCTCTTTAGTAAGCGCCTATAATAATATTACTTAGTTAGATAGTATTATTAATATAGCTTTATATGTTCTCTTATTAAGAATAACTATATACTATTTTCTCTATCTCTCTAGACATTAGTAGTATAGCTATAGCGTACTACATATTATGTATAACGTTACAGTGCTAGTAAATATAGAGGTAGATAGTATCTATACTAGAGAGTAGCTAAACGTTCTTAATAAGTATAGAGAGAGACTAGTTGTATAGGTTAACTTACAAAAGTATAAATGCCTAGTAATATTATAATAGTAGTAATATTAGTGCTACTACGTTACTAACATTATAAGCTAGTAGTAGTAGAGTGCGTTATAGACGTTAGAGCGTATAGATAGAGAGATTCTCTAGTCTATAGATATCTAAGTCTTTAGTATATCTCTAACGTATTAGAGCTAGCTATAATTATTAGCTACGTTCTTACTAGAAAGTATATTATTATTTTTAACGCGCCTGCTTAATTACTACCTCTTTAGCTACCTCTCTTATTTATATAGACATTCTAAATCTATTAGCTTTATACTTCTACGTCTATAATAATAACACTTGTATATATAACGCTAACTCTTAGTCTTTAGTAGTAGAAATGTTATAGGTATTTAGTATACTAAGAGCACTACGCTCTTAGAAGTACTAAATTTATTTAAATACTTTCTACTTTAAAGCGTTATAGACTATATTAGATAATTATTAAAAGTAAATAAAGTAGAACGTTAGTAGGTTAAGGTAGTATCTTGCTATTTATTACGTTGTTGTGTTTATTATTAATAATAGTAAGTAGGCTAGATTTGTAGTAAATAATAATTAGTAAGACAGAATTATTAGAGACGCACTAGAAAGGTCTTACCTAGTTATATATACAGGCTCTACTACTCTACTTCTTATAGTGTTTAGAACGTACACTACGTTTATAAGTATAGAGATATCTTTACTCTATAACTATTATACTCTACGCTTATTATTATTATACTTTATAATACTACTACGCAAGAAGAAGATAGTAACGTTTAACTTACCTAAAGAGGTATTAAATACAATTACTCTTAGCTAGAGCGCTAGAGATAATAAGCTAGAAAATAATAATAATCTTAATACTATTAACTAAGATAATCTTAGCTATAAGATTAACGTTGCTGCTAAGCACTAAGATAAGCTAAAATAAGTTAAGTAGAAATTAGTGTTTATAAAGAAGGAGCTTTAATTATTAGAGATAACTATAAAGTAGTCTTATACTTAATCTATAATTAGAGCTTATAAAGAGTGCATTAGTAATAATTATATAAGGTAGTTATTAGCGTTAATAATAAGTCTAAGATAGTAGAAACGTTTTAAATAATAGGTTAAGGCAAAACGTCTAGGTTTAGAGCGCAAGCTTAATAATTCTAGTTCTTAGATGCTAAAGCTTATTACTCTCTAGATATAGAAGTTATGCAACACTATATTGTTAGTAATAAAAGAAAAAGGCTAGTTCTGTTATTATTAACGTTCTTTAGCCTATTCTATTATATTCTCTATATATAAAGACTCTGCTCTAGCTTTAAGAGCTACTTTAGTAACGTCTAAGGTAATTAAAGATAAGCTAGATGCTAATACGTAAGATAGTTAATTATTCTCTTATACCTAAAAGATAAGAGTAATAATTAGCTAGTACTATAGGTATTAAAAGAAGCGCAGTATAAGCGAGTAGAAAGAGAGAAAGAATAGAAAATATACTAGAAATCTATTCTATTCTATAATAGTGTTAACGTTAATAAAGAGTATTAAACGTTAAAAGGTATATTCTTTAACGTTTTTAGAGAGTATTATTAACAACGTTTAGGTATAAGTAGGTAAAGTAGCTAAGAGTGCCTACGTAGTTAAGAAGAAAGATTTGCAAAATATATAGAATAATACCTAGGCTAGATTTCTAGGTAGTTATAATAAAAAAGCTCTTTCTTAATAATTACTACTTAATAAGCGCAGTTATATTATTTAGGTATAATATTATTAACAATTAATAATATACCTAGCATATATAATATTATTCTAATACTTTCTATAGCTTAAAAAGTATCTATAAATTAAGCTATAGATACTGTAGATTATTAACAAAGAGAAGAGAATAATTAAGCTTACTCTTCTCTTCTGTAAAACACACTAGAATAGAGGTTTATACTATTACTCTATATAATTACTTCTATTAACGTCTAGTATATAGAGATTAAGCTATTTATTCTTTACGTTAATTAGCGTAAATATTATCTCTTAATTCTAGACCTATTACTTAAGTAGCTAGCAATCTTAGAGATTTAGGCTAGCTATCTTTTTTAATAATTTAACGCTCTTAATTATTTTAAACTATAAGATATAAAGGTAATTATAAGTATATACGTTAGTATTATTTAAATAGTAACGTTACTAACGTATTATAAAATAGTAACAGCGTTTATTAAGAACTTCTATAACTATCTTGT